GGAAGTCAGAACGTGGAGTGATGACGACCGGTTGGCAGTTGTTGATCAAGCCTACGTCATATTTGTGTGCCGCCCAGAGTGTCTGTGGAACAGAAGCAAGAGCGGGAGAAATTGACGTGGGAGTTGTTAAAAATGTTTCAACTTTGTCGTTGTGCTCATAAAACACATAGACAGATCGACAAGCTGGTGTGAGGAGTACACAGTGAGTTCTGTGAAACCCTGTAGAGGCGGAGCGCAGAACGAGCGGATCGATTGTCTCCTCCCAGTCAGTGAGAGATTCACACTGAGCCACAAATGGTCCCAAATCCCTCCATTGGTCAAGGCGTCCTTTAGACAGTGAGACATGGGGATAAGAGCAAACTTGAAACAGTTCTTTCTGTGTGGGAGACAGAGAAACAGACACAGCAGATTTACAAGTTGACCAGTACAAAGTAGAACAGGCAATTGCATCATTGAGGGCCTCAAAAAATGTCTCTTCAAAAGAGCCGTCTGGACCCTCTGAGACACATGTTGTGCAATGCAGGTGTTCAGGGTTCATACGTCTGCATGAGGGGAAACCCGTGCTTCACCAGCCTGGCTTAGCCTCCGAGCATTATGGATCGGGATCCACCACTGATACGCAAAAAGAGGATTAGAGGGAGCCTTTTGCACCATTTGGAGTGCGGCTCTACGCCGAACCACTTTAAGGCCGTCTGGAGATGACGTCAAACAAATACCATATGTACACATCAAGTCTCTGCCCATCAGATTTATGGGACAGAGTGGAGAGTAAAAAAGAATGTTTTACTTTTATGTCAGGGTTTAGGTCAGTCTCGTCAGAGTGTACACTCGTCATAGGTGCAGTAAATTTTTCTGTCACAGTCAAACCTGAAGCCCCTTGAGAATATACATACCGCCCACTCATTTTTTGATTTGGAAAATGTTTTTTTTAAATTACTGAATGAGTAGCTCCGGAGTCTACTAAAAACACCAATTCTTTCCCTTCCACAATTACTCTTGTAGTTGGCATATCTTTGTATGCATCTGATGAAAACATAGCATACGTGAGTGGTGGTGGTGTGGATGTATTCTGTTGCTGTTGCTCTAAGTGAGAAATGATGCTGAGCAAAACAGCATGTTGTTCTGTAGTGTGCGTGCGAGGAAGCAGGTCTTCATTGCAGCATTGTGTGTGCGTGTGTATGTGGGTGTGCGTTTCACTTCCCTGTTTTGGAGAGGCAGCAGTAGTCATCCCTTCACACGTGCAATCTCCATCCCACTCACACACAGTCATTCTGATGTGCCGAATTGTTGACCCCCTCTGTCAGTCCCGGAGTGGCGCTGTCGTCCATGTGGCTGACGTACCTGGTTTGAACGGTAGGGGCAGTCTTTGTACCAATGTCCTGTTTTGCCACAGAGGAAGCATTCATCGGGTTGCACTTCTCGTGGGGCCCCTCCTTGAAAACGCCCTCTTCTCCCATGATTTATTCCATACCCTCGTCTTCTCTGTGGGTCCCTCCCATAAGATTTTCCGGATGGGTGGGGGTCTCGTCCTCCTTCTGCACCCAGTGTCAACTGTTTTACAGCTTGGAGCATCGCAAGCTGGGCTTTCTCCCCAGTCTGCTTGCTGCGTTTGTCTTGACACATTTGGTTTTCCACCTGCATTTTATAGTTGTGTCGTGCATGTTTTACCACTTCTGTGAGCCTTGCATCTTCCAGACACACGACAGAGTGTTCAGTGGCAGTTTTGACGTCTGGCAGAAGCCTGTTCATGAAGGCGTTCTTGAGATGAGTTTCCCACACAGTCATGTTGGTTATGTCTGTGGGCTCCTCGAGGCCACTGTGAATCTGAAAGGCAGCCACAAGACGTTGATAGTAAAATGTTACATCTTCGGCTTTACCTTGTTTCGTGCTGTTGATGAGGGCCATGTTGACTGGGAAGGCCGCAACCACAGCAGCACAGATGGCTGTTATGTCTTTGCATAACGTCAGGAACTCTTTTCCAAAAGCCACGCCATTTTTTATGGTGGGCAGATGGGAGGCAGGTAGTCCATCCTGTGGCCCTGGAACTTGAAACATGGGGGCTTGAATATAAGACCAGTCCAGTTTACTGTCCATGGTGGTGTTAGGACTAAGAAAATCCACAATTCTGCCAGCTGTGCCCCTCCAGGGGGATGGGTCTTGGATTGACCATGCAGAGTCCGGGGTGGACTGGGCTGTGGGGTCAGGTCTGAATGGGTTGAGGGGTGAGCATGATTTGACGTCTGCACCTCCCTGGTCTCCCAGCCGGGTTTGACTGCGTGTTACAGGTCATTTTCTTCATCATTCGTTTTCTCTCCCTGCATTCACATTCCAGTTCCCATTGTGCCAGACATGTCTGTTTTTTCTCTATTATTTCCAAGTCTTTAACTTAGATCTTTTTACCACTTTTCAATTATTTTTTTTTAACCTTTCTTCCAAATCCCCTCTTAACATTTTAAGTTTAGCGGCACTCGTTTTCTGGAAACCCAAACTTTTTTGTCCAGTATGGGAGACACTCTGTACATGTTTTCCCGTATTTCTGCTGCATCATTGCCACAATCGGACCCGACGTTCCGTGTGTTTTGCGGACTGGCCACCCATCTTTTACTGGTGGACCCTACCGGTTTACTTATTACAATACAGTCGTCACCGTAAGGCTTAGTTTCTTTACTCAAGGAAAAACTTTGCAAAAACCCCACTCAAAACTCACGCTTCGATTTTGCCACGATCTTGTTCTAAAGGTCATTCAGTAGAACTCACATTTGGTTAACAAAAACAGTGATATCGTTTTGAATGTTTTTCAGTGTAAAACTCACGCTTCGATATTGCCACGATCTTGTTCTAAAGGTAATTCAGTAGAACTCACGTTTGGTTAACAATAACAGTGATGTCGTTTTACCTGCTTCAGCATAAAATTCACGTAGGCTATTTCCACGATCTTATTCCACAGGTGGAATTCACGTTTGGTCAATAGCAACAGTCTTATTTTACACGGGTAGTCAAGCGATCTGCGTTACGATCTCGGAGAATTTGTTCCGAGTGAAATCGTACACGATCCTATCTACCTTCGCATAAAACGATGCATTAGAAATATCCCGGAATCATGTACTAAATAATAAAAATAAAAAAAACCAAAATGTTAAAAAAACATAATAATAATAATTGTATTCCCCAGACTATAACAACCACTTGATCAGTCATCCGTTTCCGTTATGTTCAACTCTTCCTGTTACTTTATAATCGGAATTTCAACATCTTACCCGAGTTTGTAGAAATTAATTATTTTTCGCTGGATACACTTGACGTCAATCAGGACTCCTCTGGTTTCCGCCGGTCCTTTCTCTCTTGTCTAAGGAGGTATGAGGCAGGATCATCAGCTGGTGATCCTGGAAAAGGCCTTTTCCCCCGGACGGTCCTCTGGAGCCTGACGGACGGTCAGTGAATCCTGTTCTTGACGCCAAATTGTTGTGGAATATTTCAATAAAAGCTCGGTAGAAGAGAATGATTTGTCTGATAAAACAGTCTTCATGAATGATCAAAGTTGCAAAAAGTCCATTTATTGCTTGCAAGCAGGAGGTCAAATGCACAGGCACGTATCACGGTGCTCTGTGGAAATGGCGTCTCCGAGCACTAAAGACGCTGAGTTTTTATACACATGTGGAGGACATTCTCCGTGCCAGCTACGAGAAGCTGCAAAGCAGGTTGAGATAAGAACCCAGGTGAAGCTGAGGGTAGCACACACAAACACACACACACACAAGATCCTCCTCAGTGGCCGGTGCAAATCATAATTAATTGACATGAAAGTAAAACTTGGATCCAGAACTTTCGTACAGAATAAGATATCAACCAAGGCAACGAAGAGGAGTCCTTTGTTTTGAAGCTTCGATGAGATCGAGTCAACCGTCCTCCCTTCTCAGGACACAGCTGCAAACTAACATTTTGTATCATGCTGCTCTTTACACATCAGGGTCAAATACAGGACACTTGAGACACGGCTTTAGCACAAGACAATGTTATAACATATTTTTACCATTACAGGACACCCAATGGAGCTGATGGATGGTGATGCAGGTCATGTACCTCTAACATGGATCTCTGGTCTTTTAGAGGAAGTCATCAAGAAACTGGGCGACAAGAGAGTCTTTGTTCTGTCAGTGTTAGGCATACAAAGCAGTGGAAAATCAACAATGCTGAACGCCATGTTTGGGTTACAGTTTGCAGTGAGTGCTGGCAGATGCACCAAGGGTGTCTTTATGCAGCTGGTCGAAGTGTCCGAGGAGACGAAGAAAGACTTTGAGTTTGACTATTGTTGTTCAGGCTTTCATGAGGATGAAGAAGATTAAACTTTCTCCAAGTTGTGTGTTTGTTCATCAGAATGTTACAGATGTTGGTGCTGCAGAGAAAAACATGGATGGAAAGAGACGGCTCCAAGAAAAACTGGACGACATGGCCAAACTAGCAGCCAAAGAAGAGGGTTGTGATGCAGAGTTATTTAGTGACCTCATTGCATTTGATGTGCAGAAAGATGTGAAATACTTTGCCCAGCTTTGGGAGGGAAGTCCACCTATGGCTCCTCCAAATCCAGGTTATAGTGAGAGTGTCCAAGAGCTGAAGACCATCATCCTCTCCAAAGCTAAAGAGTGTGCTGGGATCACTCTCTCACAGTTCAGAAGCAAAATCCAGGACCTGTGGAAAGCCCTGATTGTCACGGTGTGGTTCACTTCCTGTTGTATTTTGTAGTTTTCTGCCACTCGTGTCCCCGGGTAACTTCACTTCCTTGTCCCGTCATCCCCTGTGATTGTCTAATAGTTTCCACCTGTGTCCAATCACCTGCACCTCCCTTGTGTATTTAAGCCGTGTGTCTCCTGTGTCACTTGTCGCGTCATTGTCTTTCGTCACACATGTTGCCTGCTGTTTTCCTCCCGGTTCCTGTGTTTTTGACCTTTGACTATTAAAGTCCTTTTGTTCCTGCAAGTCTGCATTTTGAGTCCTGCCTTCCACCCCCAACCCTGACACTGATGAACGAACACTTTGTTTTCAGGTTCAAAAACACACTTGAAATAGCAGTGTACAGAAAGCTTGAGGTTGAGTATGGGAACTGGACCTGGAAACTGAGAAGCAACATGCTGACCATTGAGAACGAGCTTCATACCAAAATTCAAAATAGAAAACGTGAAGCGGTTGAACTCACTTACCTTCAGCAAAAAGTGAACACAACCTATGAAGAAATCAAAAAAGAAATAACTAAATACTTTGACAGAGACAAAGACATGTTGGTTCAGTGGCGAGGTCGATTTGAAGACAAAATCAAAGAGTTTCGTGATGAACTAGTGAGAGAAGTGAAAAGAAAACTGGATGAAGTCATCCAGCAGAAAAAGGCTTGTAAAAAGCTTGATGACAAGAAGACAGAGTTTGAGAACAACCTGCTACAAAAAAGCAAAGAACTCGCTCATAAGTTGAAGGACAAGGCAAAAAATGAACAGGAACTTGAAAAGCAGTTCAACTCTGTCTGGAGTGGCTTAGTTACACAACTAACTGCAGATACAAAATGATGGTCTCTTCTTAATCGATGCAAAATGAGTGGCAAGTACAAAACAATGTCACATGCTGGTGATTACATGAATTATGTGTCTCTGACCAAGCACAAAAAAATCTGAAGACGATGATGAAAAACAGCCAAAAAAAAAAAAAACAGAAACAGGTCAGATCCCTCATTGACGATGTTGAAAAACAGACCATAAACCAAATCAAGCAAAGACCCGTTGCTTCAACAGGCTACAGTTTACCTTACCTGCAGGAAGCTGCCAACACTGTAAAACAAAAAGTGACTGAATTTGAATCAAAGAAGAAATATGCTCTAAAGGAGTTCACAGTTGATCTCTCGCTGTATGTATTTCACAGAGCACGGACATGGATTTTAGAATCCCACAAGGAATTCAAAGTGAACATTGATGCACATTCTTATGTAGACAGCAAGAAAGTGCAATATTACAGAGTTTTCCAAAACTTCTGCAAAGGAAGCTCATCTGCTGTTGTGCTTGGAGAACTGATCTGTGATAAGCTGAAGAGTTCTACTGTTGAGGCCGTTTGTAACAACACTGCAATAAATCTCGCTGGAGAGATGAGGTGCAATTTCCCAGCATTCAACGGGAACAGGTTGAACTTGGAGAAACATGTGTTGAAGTCACTTGCTGAGAAAGAGGACTTTAATGGCTTCATCACCTACAAACAGCACCCACGGTGGCATGTAGAACACTTCATAAGAGAGGAAGTACAAAAATACATCTTCACAGACAACAAAGGTAAAGCCCTGAATATACTCAAGAAAAATGTTGGTGACATCAAAAATCTTGTGAGTCAAGCTTTAAATGATGCAACAGAGAAAGTCAAAATCCACAAAGGACACCCAGACATGTGGATGGAGAGATTTTCCAGTTTGCTCGAAGATAAGTTTACATTTGACAAAATCTGTTGTCAAAACTTCAGGGACTTGAACAGTTTTGACTTTCTCAAAGAAGAGATAGAGAAAGGTCTTGAATCCATCATCAAAGAGTTGAGAAGCCTCTCACTGGATGAAATGAAGAAATTCAGAATGAAGCTTGATCAAATCCTCATCGATCAGCTTTGTAACTGCTGCTGGGTAACGTGTCCATTCTGTGCAGCTGTTTGTACCAACACACTGGAAGATCACAGTCCTGACAAACACAACGTCCCTTTCCATCGCCCCTCTGGAATAGAAGGATTTCACCCTAGAGGCACAGAGGAGCTGGTCATCGATTTCTGTACAACATTAGTTGCTAGTGATAGACATTTCTATACCAGTCATGATTCAGAAGTCAGCATTCCTTATAAAGAGTATCACAAGGGTGGGGAGAAATACGCTTCATGGAAGATCACTCCTGATGAGTCTAAACTGACATACTGGAAATGGTTCGTATGTCGATTTCAACAGCAATTGGAGGACCACCACAAATTAAAATTCCAGGGCACAGGAGAAATTCCCAGTGAGTGGCGGAATTACAAAAAACAAGAAGCTATTGACAGTCTGGATGAAATGTACAACGCGTGAGTGAGACAGAAAAAGCACAAAACTCCACAAAAGTAACAAAAATTCATGAACTGTCTTTATCTGTTTGAAAGCAATGGAAGGAATTTAATTGAAGGTGTGTCTCAATAGCAATAATGACAGTACAGTCTTTCCAAAATGAATTAATTCAATCATTAATATTTAAATTAGTGAACACTAAGTGAGTTGCTGAACAGTGCCACAACTATAGTAGGAATACCTGAAACTGTCCTAAAGCAACACATTTAAACGTCTGCATAATTATAAATGACGTGTTTGTTTGTAATAAAAGGATGCAGACGGACCTGTTTTACAAGATAATATTGTTTTATTCTTTTTTTAACCTACTTATATAAAGGAAAACATGTTTAATAAAGGAATAAAGGTTTTTCTAAATTCTAAAATATTATGGATACATTTTGACTCTAGAAAGGGGAATGCAATGTATAACTGACCTTTCAGATTTTATTTTATGTGAAAATGAACAGACATGACATGAAACTATGCTGAGTTATTTGTTTTTGTAAAGAAGCTTATTAATGTTTAAAACTGTCTCTCAGGAGGATATATGTCATTTATATGCATCTTTTAATTACCTATATGTATGGCTTTTTGTGTTCTGAAGTGTCTTTAATTAAATTAGTACACAATAAGAAATGGCAATCATTAGTGGATTTAATTCTTAATATGTATATAATACATCTCATTAAAAACATTATGATGGGAAACACAAGTTTTAATAAAGGTTGACAATGCTGTTGTTTTTGCAAACTATAGTTTAAATAAGATAAATATATAAAAACAATTGATCTACCATAACTGATAAGAAGGGTCATAAGGTGGATGTCCTGAAATTGAATAAAGTTGATCAATTATTAATAAATGAATTAAAAGTTGTCAGAGTCTTTATACTGTGATTAAAAATATCTATAAATAAATATCTATAAATGCATTTCTACACAAATATTTTTAATCTTATATCAAAAAGCATGTCAAGTTTAATCATATTTTGATTTTGAGTTGACCATTCAATCGGTGTCCAGATGTCTTTGTAATGACTCATCCTACACCGTCCCTTTGCGCCGGCCCTTATAAACTGCATAGATTCTGCAGTCTTTGTTCCTCCTCCAGAGGAATGCGCTGCATCCTGTATGACGAGTGAGACCTCTGTGCGGGAAATAAACTTCAAAGAAGGGTTAGTTGGTACCATTGAATAGATTTTTCACCACACCACTCCAGCAGTAATGTCACTACTCCGAAGTCTAAACATTCTGTCCAATGAAACTGTCTGAAGTTTTCAAGCAACTTAAAATATGATTTATTACAAACGGTGTTATACGGCTAAATGACCATTTGAAACAATGAAGTCCCACGCTTTGTGAACCGTTTAAACATTTCATATTTTCTACGTTAAGTACTTTCCTTAACTTTTCAGTCCTCCACACTGCATCTCTGAGGTACACATAAGCAATAACAAGCCATTTACCTCCCTTCCAAAAACTCACGACAGGTCAGTAACTGCAAGCTGTTTATATGATCTCAGTTGACTAACAAGAGCGTTCCCGACTGAAGCAAAGAGTTTCAATGTGAATCTTTCAAGTGAATACATTGTCAATACCTAAGAGCATACAGAGATTGGATGTCAAAACATGATTTATTGTATTCGTATTCATCAAACTTATGTCGTATTAGTATGATTTCTTCTATTTTATTTTACTGGATAATTAAATTTTAGTAGACTATCATATCATTTGTAGGATACTCATACTAGACCGTATTGTATGCTTATTTCTAGATTATTCATTATTATTATATGAGACACTGCTGTACTTTACTGAATATTGTTTTACTATTTCTGCGGAGTAATTTAACACTGTTCTGTCGCTTGCCTGATGCTTGCCACAGGATTGGCACGGTAAGTGAAACCTACATCACAGCAGCTCTACATTGTTCCAAAAGCCGGACCAGTGCTTAGTGTACTGGAGGCAATCTTCCCAGACTCACTTGTTAAAACCTGTCTGAGAGGAAGTTAGTAATCCACTGACAGCTGGAAGCTGCACAGTGAACTGGGAGAGTTGGGATCAAATTACCTGGGATATGGTGTTGAACGCTGAGCTGAAGTCCACAAAGTGAATCCTTCATTTGTCCCTGATGAGTCGATGTGATGCAGTCCATGTTGACTGCATCATCCACTGACCTGTTTGCCCCGAATGTAAACGGCAGGGGATCCAGCAATTGCGCTGTGATGTTCTTCAGGTGGGTCAACACCAGCCTCTTAATACCTTGGACAAGGTTAGGTGTGAGGGGTCAGGACTTCGACTCAGGTGCAGAGCAATAAGGCAACAGAAAATTCTTTCAAGGTTTGGAATCTTTTACTAGGAGAGTAAACTAATGCAAAACAAAGGGGGCACAGGCAAAGGCGGAATCCACACGCTCTTGTAGAAAACAAAAAGGAAGAGAGCCTGGCAACAAAGTAGAAACAAGATTACAAAAACAGCACTGGGAATTTAACAACAAACATGTACCTCTAGGAACGACAAAAGATAACCTGACACAGACAAGTGGGGAACTGAGGCTTAAATACAGGTGGGGGTGATTACAAACTAAACTCAGCTGTGGGGGGAAACTAGATACAGGAAGTGCCGTGGTTACAAAAATAAAACAGGAAGTTAATCTTCAGTCTCTTCGAGTCGTCACATTAGGGTTATATCAACTTTTAACGGAGGCAAACATAACTTTAAGCAATTCCTGGTAGAAATCCACCAAACAGCATCAATGACAAGTAACATTATCGGCCAAAAATAAATAGAGAATATATTAATGGTGATGTGCAAATATGTGTACAATAAAATACGTTATTTAGAAATATGAACTATTTTCAAAGAGTCTTTCAAAAGAGTTATTCAAAACAATACTAGTGCAGATAATTTATTTGAGAAGCTAAAATAATCCATTGGGTAATCTGGAGTCCATGCATTTGGACTCCAGATTACTCAATGTTTCCTCCAGATATTTTTTTTCCCGCGCACAGCAAGGGGAGTGTGACATCTATTAGCTGAATGGTATTAATTACACACTGCGTCACTTACAATAGTCTAATAATCTTTACAGCTCCATCAGGCGATTCACCCCCGTCAGTGTGAAGGAGAGGTACTGCAGGTTGCTCCTCCCACAACAGCTCTGCCCCAAGTGGACCAAAAAACCCTTTTAAAAACATACAATAGTTTTGTCTGAGTATATAATATCTTCTCTATAATATATGTACTATAAATATATTATTTTTTATTATTGCTTATTTGTGATTGTTTCTTACAATGTCCCAGCTTGCACTTTACCTGTGCTGCTGTAATATCTCCCCTCTGATAGTAGGACAGCTTGATTTCCTGTAAACCACGTGACTTAGAGGAAATCCCATATATATAAATCACTCTAAATCACGTGACAAGGAGGATATCGAGCTCTCTAGCTGTCTTACCTTCACTTACA